CCACGTACAGGTGGCGCAGAGACAGGTGGACGGAGCCCAGGTCCAGCCTGACGCGGCCTTGCAGAGTCAAACCCTGGCAGCTGGCGTAGGTGACGGCGTGGCTGAGCCTTGTGGCGCGCAGCAGCTCCTGCTGCTTCAGCCGCAGCCCGTTGTCCAGCCTGACGTGCTCGGGCTCCACCTCTGTAACGGCCACAAAGACGCCCTTGGGAATCTTCCCACCGCCCCCGATCAGCCGGAGCCCCGGCCACACCAGCATGTTCTGCGCTCGGTTCTGCGGGTCTGCAATTGGCTCTCGGGCAGAGCAATTTCCACACCCGTTTCCAGTACTAAGAGCTTGGCGCCCGGTGGCTGCAGGGCCCGGTTGGCTGCCGCGTTCACGGCCACCCGCCGCGCGTGGCTGATGACCAGGGTCGTCTCGGGCCACCCTGGCTTGGCGGGGAAGAGTTCGCGGGCCCGCGCCTTGGCCTCCTCCAGCGCGGGCGCGTCGGGCTCGCCCACCTGCAGCCACTTCACAAAATCGAAGATGCCGGGGTCGGAGCGCATGTTTTCGGTGAGCTCGTGCCGGTGGCCGCCTGCGAGGTCCAGCACCAGCTGGCTATGCTCCAGCGGGGCGCTGATGGGCTGCCCGGCCCAGGAGTCCAGCACCGCGGGCAGCTGCCGGAAGTCGCCCAGCAGCAGGAACTTCACGTCGGGGTTCAGCCCCACGCACGCCAGGTCCGCCCAGAGCGCCATGTCCAGCTGGGTGATCTCCTCAACCACGAGCCAGTCAAGTTTTTGCACGCTCCCGTTGCGGACGTACCTGCGCACCCAGTGGTCGGCCGTCTGCGCGCCGAGCCCCAGGTTCTGCGCAGAGCTATGCGTCTTCGACACCAGGTGCACCGCCTCGCCCTGCTCACGGAGCCGCGCCACGATCTTGCGCGCAAGGTACGTCTTCCCGGTGCCCGGCAGGCCGGTGAGCAACAGGGAGTTGCCGGCCGCGCAGTGCTCCAGGGGGTCCTCCACCTCGCGCCACCGCCGCAGCGCTGGCCTCTCCGCCTCCATGCGCGGCGGTGCGCTGCGCCCCAGCAATGGCTTACACTCCTACACCCGAAAGACGGGTGTGCCGTCCTGGTGCCGCAGCCTGGTCAGCGCCTCCAGGCTCTCTTGCCGGCTCTTTGGCAGCCCCTGGAGCAGAAGGCAGTCCGTCTTGACCTGCTTCACGTACCGTGGGGGCGCCGCCAGCAGCCGCCGGGCCTTGGCCACCATGCAGTGCTCGAAGCCCAGCACGGCGTCGTGGATGGGGCGATACGTTCCGTTGGTTAGCAGGCGCCGTGTGTACACGAAGTCCCAGACGCTGCCCTCCCCGTAGCAGAAGCTTTGCGTGAAGTCGGCGCCGGGGCCGTCCAGCTGGCAGCTGCTGCTGCGCACGGAGTAGATCACGTCCGCGCGGCGCGCCCATAGCCCGATCATCGCGTTTACCGAGAGCTTGGCCATGTGCTCCTCGCCCTCGGGCCACGCAGCGTCCATGCGCTCCAGGGCCCGCCGGAGCGTGGCCGCGCCCACGTGTCCGCGCGCATAGATGCCCAGCGGGATGTGATCCCAACGGCACACGCCCGTCTCCAGCATCGCGGCAATGGAAACTTTGGGGTACCAGCCAGGGCCCACAAACGGCAGCAGCTGCAGCGCGGCCTGGCGCGCGTCGCGGCACCCCTCCACGTAGCACAAGTCCGGCAGCCGCCCCGGCTCCACGGGCTCCACGCCGTCCGCGGGGCAAAGGATGGGCAGCGGGAAGGGTGCGTTGGCCAAACCGTTGCGGCGACAGCGCACGACGTCGACACCCACGTAGGGCTTCTCGCGGTGGCTCCCCTGGGCCTCGAAGACCAGCGGCGGCAGCTTCGGACTGCGCACGTAACCCCCGGGCAGACGCGGCTCTCCAGACTCGTGGGCTGCGCGGATTCCCGGAGCGTCTTCTCGCTGTGGCAGTCAACGCAGAGCGCCTGCAGCCGCTGCACGCTGTCTGCGAAGAGCTGCCGCACCGGCACAACGTGGTCCAGCTCGCAGGCGCTCTGCGACACCGTGCAACCACACAGCGCGCACAAGCCCTGCTGCACGGCCAGGACCTCCTGCCGCTGCGCCGCTGTGGGAACCTCCCGCTTGGCCTTCAGTAATTTGAGAAAGACCTCGTGCGCCAGGCCCGCCAGCCGCTGGCCCCGGTACTCCTGGTCCAACCCCTCGCACCAGCGCCGCAGCAGCTCGTGCTCCTTGGGCAGCTCACGGATTCGCATGCCGCACCTCAGCCTCAGCCCGCTGTACTGGGAGGGACTGCTGAGGGTCACTTTGGGGCTCTCCCCGGCCGCCATCAAGTCTCGCCGCGCCTCCCGTAGGTCCTCGCACCAGAACAGCCCCGGCTCCAAAGGCAGCGCGGGGTCAACACGCTTCCACTCGACTATCGGCGGCAGCTCCTGCCGCGCCTCGCCGCGGTACAGCGTGCGCCACGCATCCCGCTCCAGCACGCGCTTCACGCACCGGTACATGTAGCAGTGCCCGTTGAAGCACAGGAAGCACACGGTGCGGTGTCTCTTCAGTGAAGGGTCGTAGCTGTCCACCACGTCGCCCTGCGAGCTCAGGAACCGCATAGGGGCGTCGCGCCAGACGCAGAACTGCCGGACCTCCTCGGCCGAGACTCCCAGGCTCCGCCAGTCGTGGCAGAGCATGGTGTCGAAGTCCGCACAGACCTCCTCGAGGCTAAGCTGCAGCAGCTCCGCAAGCTGCCGGGCCACGCAGTGCGGCTTGTCCACGAAGGCACTGGCCAGCACGTCCTCCTCGCAGGGCAGCTGGAAGCTCACGCTTCGCAGCCCCTGCATGCGCTGCCGCAGCAGCGTCTCCACCTCCGTCCGCGCGTTCCGGTAGTGCGTGCTCTGCGTGCTGACCACCCAGCGCCCCTCGGGGTCCAGGTAGTACGTCTCGTCCGAGAGCTGGAGGATGGGCCCCGCGGGGTCCCCGAGGGAGGCCTCCACCCCCCGCCGCACGCGCTGCGCCACCTGCTCCGCGGTGAGTCCCGCGGGGTGCCGAGTCATGGCGCCCCCGAGCTCGTTGATCGGTAGCCAGTCTTTCCGCTCGTAGGCCGCGCCCGCGTTCCGCCCGCTGCGCCGCCGGCCGCGGATGACCACCGGTACGTGGACCATGTACTCATAGTACTTGTCTCGGAAGAAGGCCTTCCCCAGCTTGGTGAGCCGGTGCTCGCCGTCGCCCTCCAAAGACCGCACGAGCTTCTTCTGCCCGTTGCGCAGGAGAATGTAGTCGTTGGGCCCCTCGCGGATGAGGGGCTGGTTGTAGTCAAAGTCCTTGGTGGGGGGCGCAGCCCCAGGTGCGAGTAGTAGTGCTGCCCCGCTCGGGTCAGCTGCCCGTCCGTGCGCGCGAGCAGCGCGTAGGCGCCCGCCCCTCTGTGTAGGTTCAACACGACGGAGCCATCCGCCGTCGTGCGACCCCTGGCGCCCATATCCGCCGCCCCGCTGATGCGTTGTCGTTGTCTCATCCAACTTGCCATTCTTTTTTACGGGGCCAGATTTTTTTGGTTGGCCGCGCATTCTCCCCGGCCATACCTGCACGTATGGCCGGGGAGAATAGCTTTTTTACGCGGTTTTGCGCTACAAAATGCTATTAGTCTAGTCCGTATGTCTATATACGGACGGGACTAATAGCTCGTTTTTGCACGTTTTTTGCATGGCATGATTTTTGCATGGCATGACATGATTTTGCATGATTTTGGTGCGCTTTTTCATGTCCCGCTCGGGACGCCTCTGGGGATGCTCAGCATGCTGGAGATGCTGGGGGGTGCTGGGATTTGTTTCTTAAACGTTAGACGAGCCTTGTATTGTGCTTCGCAAGATCTCGGCGGATCGGACAGCGGCATCAGCAACAGCAGCATTCACTCTTGGCTCGGACAGCAACAGCAGTTTGGCTCGGGTAGGGGTCATTAGGTGCGAGCAGGCTCGGATCGGGCATTAGGTGCGAGCAGGCTCGGGTAGGGGTCATTAGGTGCGAGCAGGCTCGGATCGGGCATTAGGTGCGAGCAGGCTCGGGTAGGGGTCATTAGGTGCGAGCAGGCTCGGGTAGGGGTCATGAGGTGTGAGGCTCGGGTAGGGGTCACTAGTGAACAGCAACAGCATCAGCAGCACCAGCAACATCAGCGCCCCGGCCATGAGTGGAGTCACGGAGGACATTCGAAGTTTTTCGTGCCGGTTTTTTTTCTGGGTGTGTCAGGAGGAATGCTGGGGCCAATGGGAGCCGCAGGCTCGAATTGCCCTCATTTTTTTTCTCCCTTTTCCCCCTTTTTTTTCACGTCAGGAGGAGTGGGGTCAGACGCACCAGGCCCGACTCGCCCTCGTTTTTTTCTTGTTTTTTTTCCACGCCAGGAGGAGTGGCGTCAGCCGCATGGAGCGCACCAGGCCTGACTCGCTCTCGATTTTTTCCCTTTTTTTTTTTTTCCACGGCAGGAGGGGTGGCATCCGCATGAGCTGCACCAGGCCCGACTCGCCCTCGTCTTTTCCTTGTTTTTTTTTTCCACGCCAGGATGAGTGGCATCCGCCGCAGGGGTGGCTTCCGCATGGAGCGCACCAGGCCCGACTCGCCCTCGTCTTTTCCTTGTTTTTTTTTCCACGCCAGGAGGAGTGGCATCCGCCGCAGGGGTGGCTTCCGCATGGAGCGCACCAGGCCCGACTCGCCCTCGATTTTTGTTCCCCCTTTTTTCCACGGCAGGAGTGGCATCCGCATGGGCCGCACCAGGCCCGACTCGCCTTCGTGTTTTTTTCCCCTTTTTTTCCACGTCAGGTGGAGTGGGATGGCGCCGGCAGCTCCGGGTGGAAGTTGCCTCGCAGGCCTGATTTTTTTTTCACGCGTTTGCGTCATCTCGCCACTTGAAGGCCGCCGTCGAAGGTGAAGAGGGAGAAGGCGTTCAACGATGAGAAGGCTCGTCGTATCGTGAGAGGGGGCTGTGGGCTATCCCTTTTTTTTTCCGCCAGGACGCGATGCGCCGCGAGCTGGCGGTCAAGGCGGGTGCGATTTCAACGGTAAACGGATGAAGATCACATTTGCAGGACGCGACCATCCGCGAGCTCCGCGGCCAGCTCGCGGAGCACGCGGACACGGCGGCGAAGCTCGTGGAGAAGGCTCGTTTTTTTCCGCCGGCTGGCGGACCGTTGTGGCTGACAGGAGAGGGAGTGCCTCCGCCTCTTCACGAAGCTCGAGGCGGAGCAGAAGTGGATCGAGGGCTACAAGGAGCGCGGCGTCCCCCTTTTTTTTTTTCCTCAGCAGTGAGCTGTCAGGTCGACGTCAAAGCCCTCTACGAGGAGAACCAACGGCTGCGGCTGGAGGTGGGAGTCGGCTCATCCGTTGTCTCTTGAATCCCTTTTTGGGAGGCCGCCACCGCCGCAGCCGCCGCTCCGCCGGCGAAAAAGCCACGCAAGGCGCCTTTTTTTTCTCCGCTTTGGGCCATGTTTGAACGTTCTGGTCAGGCGGCATGAGCTGGACATCGTGGCGGGAGGACCGTGTTTTTGCGTTTTTTCGCGTGCTTTTTCAAGCGTTTGTTCAACCTGCAGGAGTGAGCGTGGCCGACTCGAGCTCATCCTGATGGAGGAAAAAGCGCTCGGGCCCGCGGTTTTTTTTTTTTTTAGTGCCGAGCGGGCACTTAGGAGTGCCGAGCGGGCACTTAGGAGTGCCGAGCGAGCACTTTAGGTAAACGTGCCGAGCGGGCACTCTAGATTAGGAGTAGGTAGTGCCGAGCGGGCACTTAGGAGTGCCGAGCGGGCACGGTGCCGAGCGGGCACTTAGGTAAACGTGCCGAGCGGGCACTTAGGAGTGCCGAGCGGGCACGGTGCCGAGCGGGCACGTAGGATAGTACGGGTTCGCCCAACGGCAGTACTGGTTCGCCCAACGGCCCATAGTACGGGTTCGCCCAACGGCCCCCTTAGTACGGGTTCGGCCAACGGCCCATAGTACTGGTCCGCCCAACCTCGGTTGATACTGGCTCGCCCAACGGCCCCCTTAGTACGGGTTCGCCCAACGGCCCCCTTAGTACGGGTTCGCCCAACCTCGTTTGATACTGGCTTGCCCAACGGCCCCCTTAGTACTGGTTCGCCCAACGGCCCCCTTAGTACGGGTTCGGCCAACGGCCCATAGTACTGGTCCGCCCAACGGCCCATAGTACGGGTTCGCCCAACGGCCCCCTTAGTACGGGTTCGCCCAACGCCCCATAGTACTGGTCCGCCCAACCTCGTTTGATACTGGCTCGCCCAACTGGCCTAGCTCTGTGCCCCCCCCTGAGGCGGTTTTTTATTTATATAAAAATCTAAATGCGTCCATCCCTGGCAGGTTGTCTCCCGTGCTTTCTGTGCCCCTCTGAGGCGGTTTTATTTATAGAAAAATCTAAATGCTTCCATCCCTGGCATCCCGTGCTTTCTGTGCCCCTCTGAGGCGGTTTTTTATTTATATAAAAATCTAAATGCTTCCATCCCTGGCATCCCGTGCTTTCTGGGCCCCCTGAGGCGGTTTTTTATTTATATAAAAATCTAAATGCTTCCATCCCTGGCAGGTTGTCTCCCGTGCTTTCTGTGCCCCTTGAGGCGGTTTTTTATTTATATAAAAATCTAAATGCTTCGATCCCTGGCAGGTTGTCCCCGTGCTTTCTGTGCCCCCTGAGGCGGTTTTTTATTTATATAGAAATCTAAATGCTTCGATCCCTGGCAGGTTGTCCCCGTGCTTTCTGTGCCCCCTTGAGGCGGCTTTTTATTTATATAAAAATCTAAATGCTTCGATCCCTGGCAGGTTGTCCCCGTGCTTTCTGTGCCCCCTTGAGGCGGTTTTCCACAGGCATTTAGATTTTTATATAAATAAAAATGCACCTCAGGGGGGCACGGAAAGCATGGGAGACAGCCTGCCAGGGATGGAAGCATTTAGATTTTTATATAAATAAAAAAAGCCATCCTCATCCTTGAGGTGTGTGATATAGGGATGCCAACATGCGAAGCGCACGGAGCTGAGTTCCAGGTCGTTGGGCGAAGCAGTATTAATCCTACGTGCCCACTCGGCACTGCCCAAAAAACCTCCCCCCAGCGCCAGACCCAGGCCATTTGACAAGCCGCGAGGAAGTATTATTTTCTTTTTTTTTAAAAATAAATTTTTATATTTTATATAAAACTAACTAAACGCATGCATTCCTTGTCAGACTGCCTGCAGAGGGATTGAAGCATTTAGATTTTATATGAACAAAACCGCCTCAAGGGGCACAGAGCTAGGCCATTTGACAAGCCGCGAGGAAGTATTCTTTTCTTTTTTTAAAAAATAAATTTGTATATTTTATATAAAACTAACTAAACGCATGCATTCCTTGTCAGACTGCCTGCAGAGGGATTGAAGCATTAAGATTTTATATGAACAAAACCGCCTCAAGGGGCACAGAGCTAGGCCATTTGACAAGCCGCGAGGAAGTATTCTTTTCTTTTTCTTTTAAAAAAATAAAGTTTTCATTTTATATAAAAACTAAACGCATGCATTCCTTGTCAGACTGCCTGCAGAGGGATTCAAGCATTTAGCTTTTTAGAAAAAAAAAACGCCACAAGGGGCACAGAGCTAGGCCATTTGACAAGTCGTGAGGAAGTGTTTCATTTTTTTTTAAAAAAAAGTTTTTATTTTATATAAAACCTAAACGCTCGCATTCCTTGTCAGACTGCCTGCAGTGGGATTGAAGCATTTAGCTTTTTAGAAAAATAAAACCGCCTCAAGGGGCACAGAAAGCACGGGATGCCAGGATCGAAGCATTTAGATTTTTATATAAATAAAAAAGCGCCTCAGGGGGGCACGGAAAGCATGGGAGACCGCCTGCCAGGGATGGAAGCATTTAGATTTTTATATAAATAAAAAACCGCCTCAGGGCGGCACGGAAAGCGGATGCCAGGGATGGAAGCATTTAGATTTTTATATAAATAAAAAACCGCCTCAGGGCGGCACGGAAAGCACGGGATGCCAGGGATGGAAGCATTTAGATTTTTATATAAATAAAAAACCGCCTCAGGGAGGCACAGAAAGCACGGGATGCCAGGGATGGAAGCATTTAGATTTTTATATAAATCAAACCGCCTCAGGGGGGCACAGAAAGCACGGGATGCCAGGGATGGAAGCATTTAGATTTTTATATAAATAAAACCGCCTCAGGGGGGCACAGAAAGCACGGGATGCCAGGGATCGAAGCACGAGGGATCGAAGCATTTAGATTTTTATATAAATAAAACCGCCTCAGGGGGCACAGAAAGCACGGGATGCCAGGGATCGAAGCACGAGGGATCGAAGCATTTAGATTTTTATATAAATAAAAAACCGCCTCAGGGGGGGCACAGACCTAGGCCATTTGACAAGCATCTCCAGGACCGGGTGGAGTTGCCGCTCAGACGCCTTCGACTTCGGCTGCTGTTTCCGAATGTCCGGGGCCTGGTTGCCAGTCATTGCCAAGCATTCGGGTACTTGCTGGGACGTGCCATCTTTATCTTTTGAAGCATTTTCTCAGAAGGAACTTAGCTTTCGACACCTACCATGACCATGGATGCCGCGCGGTCTCTGGCGGTGCAGCTCGTGCTGAGCCCAACGCATCGAGTTGGCGAGAAGTGCGGCTTCAGGATCTTCCCCGGCTCTGCGTCGTCCTGCTTCAAGATGATGATGCACTTGGTGCACCCGGACAAGTGCACGGACCCCCGCGCTGGAGAGGCCTTCGGTGAGATGCAGAGCATGAAGAGCTTGGCGGTCGGCAGTGATCAAGACGCTACTCGCCAGCGGCCCATGACTGAGCTGGAGGGGCTTCTGCACCGCGCGCTGTGCAAGATCCGAGATCCGGTGGAGACCGCCGCAGAGGTCATCAATTTCTGTGACGGCCTTCTCCGTCGGCGCAAGCGCCTTGAGAGATCTGTGTGCCAGGAAGCCTTGGCGAGGCTCCAGTGGCTCAACCTCAATGATGCCAACCTCGAGGAAGCTGAGTCGGTGCGGGAGCTC